GCCCATTAGGACACGATATCACGCCCACAGTATCACGCCCATGGTATCACGCCCACAGTATCACGCCAACAGTAACAAGTCCACAGTTTCCCATGCTAAGACGCAAACCTGTCATTCTCTCACGCCCAGGTGACCTCATCCTAATGAGGGCAGTGCACCTGTGAGAGAGAGAGAAAGAGAGAGAGAGAGAGACAAATGTCCTTTCTCCTTCCTCCCCCTTCCCCTCACCTCACCTCTCACCCCATCCCAACCCCCTACCCTCCCCTCCCCCTCCCTCCCTCAGGTCAAATTCATGACCCCCCACCAATAGAGGTCACTGCTAATAGGTTAGGTTAGTGTTAGGTTAGGTTAGTGTTAGGTTTAGGTTAGGTTGGGTTAGTGTTAGGTTAGTGTTAGGTTAGTGTTAGGTTAGGTTAGTGTTAGGTTAGGTTAGGTTAGTGTTAGGTTAGGTTGGTGTTAGGTTGGGTTAGTGTTGGGTTGGTGTTAGGTTAGGTTAGTGTTGGGTTAGGTTAGTGTTAGGTTAGGTTAGGTTAGTGTTAGGTTAGGTTGGGTTAGGTTAGGTTAGGTTAGTGTTAGGTTGGGTTGGTGTTAGGTTGGGTTAGTGTTAGGTTAGGTTAGTGTCAGGTTGGTTTAGTGTTAGGTTAGTGTCAGGTTAGTGTTAGGTTGGGTTAGTGTCAGGTTAGTGTTAGGTTGGGTTAGGTTAGGTTAGGGTTGGGTTGGTGTTGGGTTAGTGTTAGGTTAGGTTGGGTTGGTGTTAGGTTGAGTTGGTGTTGGGTTGGGTTAGTGTTGGGTTGGGTTGGGTTGAGTGTTAGGTTAGGTTGGGTTGGTGTTAGGTTGAGTGTTAGGTTAGGTTAGGTTGGGTTGGTGTTGGGTTGGGTTAGGTTGGTGTTAGGTTAGGTGAGATTAGGTTGAGTGTTGGGTTGGGTTGGGTTAGGGTTAGGTTGGGTTAGGGTTAGGTTGGGTTAGGTTGAGTTAGTGTTAGGTTGGGTTAGTGTTAGGTTGGGTTAGGTTGGGGTTAGGTTGGGTTAGTGTTAGGTTGGGTTAGTGTTGGGTTGGGTTGAGTGTTAGGTTGGGTTAGTGTTAGGTTGGTGTTAGGTTGGGTTGGTTGGTGTTAGGTTGGGTTGAGTGTTAGGTTAGGTTAGGTTAGGTTGGGTTAGGTTGGTGTTGGGTTAGTGTTAGGTTGGTGTTGGGTTGGGTTAGTGAGTTAGGTTAGGTTAGGTTAGGTTAGTGTTGGGTTAGGTTGGGTTGGGTTAGGTTGGGTTGGGTTGGGTTAGGTTAGGTTGGGTTAGGTTGGGTTAGTGTTAGGTTAGTGTTAGGTTGGGTTAGGTTAGGTTAGTGTTAGGTTAGGTTGGGTTGGTGTTAGGTTGGTGTTAGGTTAGGGTTAGGTTAGGTTAGGTTAGGTTAGGTTGGGTTAGGTTAGTGTTAGGTTAGTGTTAGGTTGGGTTAGTGTTGGGTTAGTGTTAGGTTAGGTTAGGTTGGGTTGGGTTAGGTTAGTGTTAGGTTAGGTTGAGTGTTAGGTTAGGTTGGGTTGGAGTTGGGTTGGGTTAGGTTGAGTGTTGGGTTGGTGTTGGGTTGGTTAGGTTGGTGTTGGGTTGAGTGTTGGGTTGGGGTTGGTTTGGGTTGGGTTGGGTTAGGTTAGGTTATTGGGTTGGGTTGGGTTGAGTGTTAGGTTGGTGTTGGGTTAGGGTTAGGTTAGGTTAGGTTGGGTTGGTTGGGTTAGGTTGGTGTTAGGTTAGTGTTGGGTTGGGTTCAGGTTGGGTTGGGTTGGTGTTGGGTTGGGTTAGTGTTAGGTTGGTGTTGGGTTGGGGTTCGGTTAGGTTGGTTGGTGTTGGGTTGGTGTTGGGTTAGTGTTGGGTTGGGTTAGGTTGGTGTTAGGTTAGTGTTAGGTTAGGGTTCGGTTAGGTTAGGTTAGTGTTGAGTGGGTTGTAGTGTTAGGGTTGGGTTGGGTTAGTGTTGGGTTAGGTTGGTGTTGGGTTAGGTTGGTGTTAGGTTAGGTTGGTGTTAGGTTAGGTTAGGTTGGTGTTGGAGGTTGGGTTAGTGTTGGGTTGGGGTTGGGTTGGTGTTTGGTTAGGTTGGGTTAGTGTTAGGTTAGGTTGGTGTTAGGTTAGTGTTAGGTTAGGTTAGTGTTAGGTTCCCCCCTACCCGATGACGAAACGACCATGAGTCATCGTTTTTTCCCCAGGATGACTCAGACACAATTATCTACCTGTTATTAAGGAATGTCTTTGTGTTCTCTCGTACTGGGAAAAAACCTAGAAGCCAATATTTAAATGCGTTTAAATCTCTTCTTCCTCCTCCTCTTCTTCCTCCTCCTCTTCTTCTTCTTCCTCCTCTTCTTCCTCCTCTTCTTCTTCCTCTTCTTCTTCCTCCTCATCTTCCTCTTCATCTTCCTCTTCTTCTTCCTCTTCTTCTTCCTCTTCTTCCTCCTCTTCCTCTTCTTCCTCATCCTCCTCCTTCTCTTAATGTGGGTGGGTGGTGGTGGGGGCGATTATCCTTCAAATCTGGCCATGTTGAGGCCATGTTGAGACCATGTTGAGACCATGTTGAGGCCATGTTGAGACCATGTTGAGGCCATGTTGAGGCCATGTTGAGGCCATGTTGAGGCCATGTTGAGACCATGTTGAGGCCATGTTGAGACCATGTTGAGACCATGTTGAGAGGCCATGTTGAGACCATGTTGAGACCATGTTGGACCATGTTGAGGCCATGTGCACTTGGTAAACTTTTTACAGACAACCATGTCAACCAAGCCTTATTATCCCAGAAAGTGCACGGCCCAAGGAAGTCAGCATCGGTCAGTGGTACTCAGGTAAAGATCTTTGTGGTCTCAACAGTCAGTCTCCCACACTTCCTTTCATCTCACACTAGTGAGGAGGCAGCTGAGATAATTAATAACCATTTTGCTACCATATGTCATACCCTACCTAGTCTTGACCTCACCCCCCAGTATTGAAATCGCCAACAAACTCTGAAATTTAGATCAAACGTTCACGACCCCAATTGACCTCCCAATCAAATTTACAAGGGTTGCTGTCCAGACACCACCTCTGTTCTATTTATGCATCTCAGACAAAGCAAATGCCCTAATGAATGGAAAACCGCATTTGTCACCCCCATCCCCAAGGTCACCACCCCACAGTCCCCTAACGACCTCAGGCCAGTTGCCATTACCCCCATACCCAGTCTACTCTGTGAAGACTTTGTTTTTGATTGGCCATTTGCTAGTATTCATCAGTCAATTGATACTTAGTTTCCTGGATTTTTGCACAAAAACCTGGAGAAACGTAAGACATCACTGGTCGTTGCCCTTACATTACCAGGAAGGCTTTTGACCTTTTGATCACTGCACTGTTATCAACAAGGCCATTGCACTAGGGCTGCCCACCAACCTTGTCTCATGGCTGAGCGTCGCCAGGCAGTGGTACCAGGGTTCTGTCTCAACAGTCCAGCACCTCACCTGCGGTGTTCCCCAGGGGACCAAGATGTGACCACTGTGCTTCCTAATCCTGATCAACAACGCTCTATCTTACACTCCTCACAGGTGGAAGTACGTGGATGACTGCACTGTGGGGTTACAGTGGACAACACCTCACCGGACTACACATCGCTACAAGGCACCCTGGACAGGCTACAGGCATGGACCACGGAGAACAAGGTCACCATCAACCACACCAAAACCGTAGTCATGCACATCAACACCGCCACCACTCCAGTGCAAGCTCCGGCAGTCACAGTGGGTGCCCATCCTCTCCAGTTAGTGCAGTCTGCCAAACTCCTGGGTGTAACTATAGACCACAAACTGGACTGGATGGCAATACACTCAAGGCAGCCTCGTACCGACTCTACATGCTACGACGACTCAGGTCACTTAGGGTACCCACCCCAGAGCTGAGGACCATCTACAACGCCTTTATTCTCCCCAAATTAACATATGGCCACCAGCCTGGTCGTCTTCTCAACTCCACCCAACAACGTCAGCTAGAGAAGGTACAGAAGAGGGCTCAGAATCATGCTCGGCGCAGACTACTCCGGCTACAACAACGCTCTCTCCACCCTGGAGATGCCATCCCTCTGTGACCTCCACCACCACGCACTGGAAAGGTTTGGCAATGGACTACTGCACCATCCTCTCCATCGCCACCTCCTGCAGCCCCCCGCCCACCTCGCGCAGTCCGCCACTACAACAAAATTCAGCCCATAAGAGCCCGCACTGATAGATATAAGAACAGCACCATCCCATCTATTGTTAAAATAATAAACAACTCCTGATTTATGTACTGTACAGCCCTGTAAATGTATTCAATGTATATTATATCATTATGTCTAAACTAAATGTAAGTCTGTATATTTTCAGCCACCGGCTGCAACTCTATTAATAAACCGTTTATTATTATTACACACACACACACACACACACACACCTCTACAGTGCCCTTTAAATACCTCTAACCCATTAGTTCCCCCTTAACCACCCTTAACCTATCCTCAGTCACCCTTAGTCATGCTGAGTCACCTTTAACCCACCCTTAGTCATGCTGAGTCACCTTTAACCCACCCTGCTGAGTCACCTTTAACCCACCCTTAGTCATGCTGAGTCACCTTTAACCCACCCTTAGTCATTCTGAGTCACCTTAACCCACCCTTAGTCATGCTGAGTCACCTTTAACCCACCCTTAGTCATGCTGAGTCACCTTTAACCCACCTTAGTCATGCTGAGTCACCTTTAACCCACCCTTATCGTGGTCACTTAACCCACCTTAGTCATGCTGAGTCACTTAACCCACCTTAGTCATGCTGAGTCACCTTAACCAACCTTAGTCACCTTGAGTCACCCTTACTCACCCTAACCCTGGTGCCGAGTGCTTATACGTAATACCTAGCCTAACCTAAATTATTCATCTTCCTCCTCCTCCTCCACTACACCTCTCTACCTCCCCCACTTCTTCCTCTTCCTCCGCTTCCACCTCTTCTTCCAATAATAACAACAACAAGACACTTACCCTCTGAGTAGCTGTGAGTCCCTCAGGTAACACGTATAGAAGTGGTTCCCAGCGGAGAGTCCCTTCACCCCGGCAGGTCACCCTCTCACCCACTACTGAAAACGGAAAGAAATTATTCAGGGGTGACTCTCTCTCTCTCTCTTCAATAACAAAATATTAAGTTAATTTATTGCAGTTTCTTATACATTACTATTATTATATGTACAGACGTTGGGAGTGTGTGTATACCTCTTAGCCCCAAGTGTACATATATATACACATAGGTGCAATACATACATATATAGAAACATACATACATATATACATACATACATATATACATACATACATATCTGAATTTTGCCAAGGGGTTCGACAGTATACCCGATGAAAGGAAGAAAATTAAACTGGAAGGGTAAGGAATTAAGTGTTATAGTCCTAGTGTGGATGGGAGATTTTCTGCGGGGTACCACAGGGCAGTGTATTGGGTCCTCTGATGTTTGTTTTGGTTCATTAATAACATGCCTGACGTTGTACACTCCTCCATAGAAATGTCTGTGGATGACGCCAAGTTATTTAGGGAAATTAAGAACCAAGCGGACTGTGGAGAGCTGCAGAAGGATCTCTGTGGGTTCCAAGAATGGTCGAAGAAATGGCTGCTGAGATTCTACATCACCAAGTGTAAGAGGCTGCCCCTGGGACGTACCAACGGTAAGGAGGCGTATCACACCTCACAACAGGAGGAAAAACAGCATTAACAGAGACTGAATGTAACAAGGACCCGAGTGTCTGTTGACAATGTTGAGGTGTTCTCGGGCCATTGTGAGAAGGTGAATCAAGGAACTAAACTACGGGGTCTTATAAGAAGGTCGTTCAGATGTCTAGATGGTCCGTCCTCGTAACGATCTTCAGGAGTGAAGTGCTCCCGTCTGGAGTACTGTCACCCCGTCTGAGTACTGTCACCGTCTGGTCCCCCAAGATATACTAGGGACTGTCAGTTGACTGAAAGTGTCCAAAGGAGGACCACCAGACTGGTGTCTGCACTACGGCACCTCAGCTACCTGAGATATTAGAACGCCTGACCTGTCCAGCTCATGTCCGAGACCCATAACGGGCTTAGGGGCGAAAATTGCCCAGCTTATACTACAGACGGGAAGGGCGACTATAGGGTGTATAAACATCTCAAAGGGCACTACTCAGTCGAGTGTCCTTACCTGGAGGTGGCGGACGCTCGCCCCACAAAGGGTCACAGCTCAACGTTGAAGAAGCAAGAGCAGACGGCACCGAGTGTGAGCTGCTTCAAGACTAGACTTGACCAACACTGGCGCAGGTTCAGGTACATTCAGGAGCCGGTACATGCCCAGTACTTGCCAACAGTGTGTAACAGAGCCAGTACATGCCCAGTACTTGCCAACAGTGTGTAACAGAGAGCCAGTACATGCCCAGTACTTCCAACAGTGTGTAACAGAGAGCCAGTACATGCCCAGTACTTGCCAACAGTAACAGAGAGCCAGTACATGCCAGTACTTGCCAACAGTGTGTAACAGAGCCAGTACATGCCCAGTGCATGCCAACAGTGTGTAACAGAGAGCCAGTACATGCCCAGTACTTCCAACAGGTAACAGAGCAGTACATGCCCAGCACAACAGTGTAACAGAGAGCCAGTACATGCCCATACTTGTCAACAGTGTAACAGAGAGCCAGTACATGCCCAGTACTTGACAACAGTGTGTACAGAGAGGCAGACATGCCCAGTATTGCCAACAGTGTGTAACAGAGCCAGTACATGCCCAGTACTTGACAACAGTGTGTAACAGAGCCAGTACATGCCCAGTACTTGCCAACAGTGTGTAACAGAGCCAGTACATGCCCAGTACTTGCCAACAGTGTGTAACAGAGAGCTAGTGGTGAAAAGGATAGTAGTAGAAAAAGAAAGTAAATTATTATAGTCATTCCTTTAAAGTAGAAGAAAATGTATCAGGTCTCGATATAAGAGAAAACGACACAGTTTAATGGGTAACTATACGATTAACAACACATGGTGATGGTAAGCTCAGAGCGGTGATTGGGCTGTTAAGTGACGTCATAATTCATGTTTCTATTCTTCTGACGTCACAACTGCAGGTCATACTTGCCTATTGACGTCATAATTACTATTTATACTTCCCAAGTGACGTCATAACTCCGGTTTATAATCCTCTCGTGACGTCATAACCTCAACTTAAACATACCTAATGACGTCACAACTACCCAAACACTTTCTCCTGATGACGTCATGGTACACACACACCCCGTGACGTCACAGTAGTAACCACATCGAGTCGAGTCATCATACGGTGGCTGGTATAATGGGCCCCTTGTCCTAATGGGCCCCTTGTCCTAATGGACCCCTTGTCCTAATGGGCCCCAACATATACAATAAGACTGAGGCCCAATTGTGAAGGTCTCTCAACACACACACACACACACACACACCACTGATCCTTCAAGGCCTACCACCTCCTCCTCTTCCTCCTCCTCCTCCCTCCTCCTCCTCCCTCCTCCTCCTCCTCCTCCTCCTCCCTCCCTCTTCCCTCCTCCTCCTCCTCCCTCTCCCTCTTCCTCCTCCTCCCTTCTTCCCTCCTCTTCCTCCTCCTCCTCCTCCTCCCTCTTCCTCCCCTCCCTCTCCTTCTTCTCCCTCCTCCCTGTTCTCTTCCTCCTCCTCTCCTCTTCCTCCTCTCTTCCTCCTCCTCTTCCTCCTCCTCTTCCTCCTCCTCCTTCCTCCCTCTTCCTCTTCCTTCTTCCTCCTCCTCCTCTTCCTCCTCCCTCCTCCCTTCCTCCTCCCTCTTCATCCCTCTTTCTCCTCCTCTTCCTCCCTCTTCCTCCCTTCCTCCTCCTCTTCCTCCCTCTTCCTCCTCCTCCTCCTCCTCCTCCTCCTCTTCCCTCCTCCTCCTTCCTCCCTCCTCCTCCTCCCTCCTTCCTCCTTCCTCCTCCTTCCTCCTCCTCCTCTTCCTCCTCCTCCTCTTCCTCCTCCTTCCTCCTCCTCCTCCTCCTCCTCCTCTTCCTTCCTTCCTCTTCCTCCTCCTCCTCCTCCTCCTCCTCTTCCTCCTTCCTCCTCCTCCTCCCTCCTCCTCCTCCTCTTTCTTCCTCCTCCTTCCTCCTCCTCCTCCTCCTCCTTCCTCCCTCCTTCTTCCTCCTACTCCTCCTCCTTCTATTGAGTAAGCGAAATTAATATGGGCGTAAGAGATCTTGTCAAGGCGTGGCCAAAATACCAAGAGAGAGAGAGAGAGAGAGAGAGAGAGAGAGAGAGAGAGAGGAGACATGTGAGTCGTTGTGGGCGTGTCCAAGGACATGGGAGAAAGATATGGGCGTGTCAAGTGTATAGAGAGACAACATACAGTATGTCTTTCTGGCGCATCCGGCTGCCACTAGAGGTCGTGGACGGAACAACAACAACCACCACCACCACTACCACCACAACCACTACCACCACAACCATTACCACCACAACAACCACCACAACAACAACTACCACAACAACCACCACCACAACCACAACCACTACCACCACAACCATTACCACCACAACAACCACCATCACCACAACCACCACTACCACAACAACCACTACCACAACAACAACCACCACCACTAAAACACCACAACAACCACTACCACCACAAACACTACCACAACAACCACCACAACAACCACCACAACCACTACCACCACAACAACCACCACAACCACTACCACCACAACAACCACCACCACAACAACCACTACCACCACTACCACCACAACCATTACCACCACAACAACCACCACCACCACAACAACCACTACCACAACAACCACTACCACAACAACCACCACCACAACAACCACTACCACCACTACCACCACAACCATTACCACCACAACAACCACCACCACCACAAACAACCACTACCACAACAACCACTACCACAACAACCACCACCACGACAACCACTACCACAACAACCACAACCACTACCATTACCACAACAACAACCACCACCACAACAACCACAACCACTACCACCACAACCATTACCACCACAACAACCACCACCACAACAACCACCACCACCACAACCACCACCACCACAACAACCACCACAACCAATACCACCACAACCATTACCACCACAACAACCACCACCACCACAACAACTACTACCACAACAACCACCACCACCACAACAACCACCACCACAACAACCACAACCACCACCACCACAACCAAAACCACAACAACCACAACCACAACCACCACAACCACCACCACCACCACAACCACCACCACAACAACCACAACCACCACCACAACCACCACCACAACAACCACAACCACCACCACAACCACCACCACAACAACCACAACCACCACCACAACCACTACCACAACCACCACCACCACAACAACCACCATCACAACAACCACCATCACCACAACCACCACCACCACAACAACCACCATCACCACAACCACCACCACCACAACAACCACCACCACGACAACCACTACCACAACAACCACTACCACACAACAACCACTACCACAACAACCACTACCAACAACCACCACCACAACAACCAAACACCACCACAACCACCACCACAACAACCACAACCACCACCACAACAACCACCACCACAACAACCACCATCACCACAACCACCACCACCACCACAACAACCACGACCACGACAACCACTACCACAACAACCACTACCCACAACAACCACTACCACAACAACCACTACCACAACAACCACTACCACAAAAACCACCACCACAACAACCATCACCACAACAACCACCACCACAACAACCACCACCACAACAACCACCACCACCACCACAACAACCACCACCACCACCACAACAACCACTACTTAACAACATAAGAATGGAGGAAACTGCAGCGGGCCTATTGACCTATACTGGGCAGTCCCATTTACACCCAACCCCTATTGCTCATATAAGCATCCAACCTAACCTAACCTAACCTAACCTAACCTAACCTATTCAGCGTATTCGAGTTAATGACGATATTTGGTAACTTGTTCCACTCGTCCACTACTCTGTTACCAAACCAGTGTTTACCTA